ATTTGTTTATATTTATCTATATATATATATATATATACATTATATAGGTATATATGTAAAGTACACTATTCCCCAAGTCCTATTCCAGCCCAGTTGAGTGGGCATTTAGGGTTGGTCCCCGGAGGAACTACCCGGCGCCAGTGTGCCCTGGCTCAATGCAGCACTTTCATGTCAAACGGCCATCGGAGAATCCGCCGGTTAGTTTGGCAATGGGTGTCTTAATTTCAGGTTACTCATCTTATGGGATTCCTCCACGCAGGACTCTGCCTCAGGAACCCCTTATCTTCCGGAACTTGCAAATCTTGAGTCGGGCCTAAAGTAGCGGAAAGGGCTACCCATAGGCCCTAAAATAGTTCCTTTTTGGGGTTCATATATGGAATCCTGTAAGGTAACCCCCAAAAGGAACTACTATGGGGCCTATGGGTAGAGCTGCGCCCTTGATGCGTAAGTCTTTTGGATTTGCTTCTACCAAAGGCGTAGAGAACAGAGAATCTGAGGGCGTTGATTCTGCCTGGGCTGTGCCAATAGTAGGCTTGCATTTTAAGAATATGAACCCCACCTCCCGGCAATGGCTGCAACTGTGCGACACCTTGCTAGCTGGACACTGGGACATCGCAGCCTTCTGCAAAACCTGAACCCTAAACCGCGCGTAGAAGCTCGTGGCAGGTGATTTCGTTGTCTCTTTCAGCTTAGCGACGCTTACGCTGACATCGTCCCCATCTGGAGACCATACAGGATGTATCATCGTATGTTGTAGGTTTTACTTTACTAGTATAGATACGGAGGGACCATAAGGTCATAGTCATAGTCATATTGCAACCTCATGTGATGGTTAAGCTTTCCTGGCCTCCTGCCATTTGGCTCAACGCCCGCCGTCCTTTGCCAAGCCTGCAGAATCTCGGCGACTCCCAATTATCTGGCAAGGTCAGGGTATTTGTGTAAACGGTCCCCGAAAAATTACGTGACTCCTGGAGGAACCACCTATGCAGTTGACGGTGACTTGTCATGCAACCTCTGGTTCCTCGCGGTTTTCCGACATCGATCCGAACAGTTCTGCGCGACTCACCCCTATTTACGCCCGACACCCGTCACGAGAGGATAGCGCCCGAGGGTATGAGGCAGTTTATAAGCAGATTAAAAGCAACAGGGAAGCTGAGCCTGCTTCAATGTGGACTTCGGACGAGAGCTGCCTGGCGAGCATAGCGAAGACGAAAGCTTGGCAAGCCACAACCCCAGAAGCCTCAGCTACCTTTCCGTCCCAAGCCTATATGCACCCTAAAGCCTGCAGTGCAAACCGAACAGCCCCCGCAACTCCACAACCCAAAATCTTGAATTTGACCGCTAGCATGAGAGCCGCCTCGGACACGGCCCCGGGGCCACATGCAGACCGAGGATTCTGCAGATGAGATGTCAGGCCTCCATATACCCCCGGGGGGCGAGACTCAGCTGTGTTCAGTGCCTTCATCCTAACTAGAAGCTTAAAGAAAATTGCCAAGATTGTACTGTGTTTGGGCTCCTTGTTAAAGCAAAAGGTAATGCACTGCAAATCTACTGCAAGTATTAAGGTCCCTATCTTGGGGGTGCAGGAAGCCAGAGTGTCTAGGGAGAGCCTTACGCTGAGTTACTATATGGGTGGTTGTCAAAATTAGGGTCCCTTTTTGGGTCCTTACTATAATACGGCACCTATTATTTAGGGTACCCCAAAAGGGACCCTAATTTTGACAACTACCCATATAGTATACGATAGTCTACTATGCTGTAGTGTGTTGGGGTCTACTCTGAAGTGCCAGCATAAACAGGTCAGCCGAAAAGTGTTGCACTGCGGTACAGCGTATGCCAGCGTGTGTGTGTGTGTGTCGTTTCGCACCATACACGATTTAGATTGGAGGAGGTTACAATCCTGTCTGCTTATGTGTATTTTATTGTATCCGCGCAAAACATGTTTATTTAATCCATCTATCCAGCCACCTATGTAACGACCGATCTTTCTATCTATCTATCTATCTATCTATCTGTCTGTCTATCTATCTACTTCTCTACGTATTGACTGCCTATGTATTTACCGATCTTTCTATCTATCTATCGATCTATCTATCTATCTATCTGTCTATCTATCTATC